AGTTCACATAAGACTTTCCAGGTTTTTCTGAAATCATCCTGCTTGTTGTTTCTTATAGCATAACATTCCATCACAATCATACACCACATTTTGTTTAGCCATTCCCCAATTGATGGGCATCCCCTCAATTTCTAATTCTTAGCCACCACAAAAAGAACTGCTATAAATATTTTTGTACAAATAGGTCTTTTCCCTTTGAGCAGAAGTTCTTAATGGAGAAATTTCAAGGAGTCCATCTACTTGAATGGGGAAAAAAACTACATCTCGATTTTCACTAACCTTTGCTTTCCTTTATTTTATTGTTCAGCTGTTTCAGGCATGTCTGACCCTTCATGACCCCATCTGGGGTCTTCTTGGCAAAGATACTGGAGTGGTTTGCCATTTTCTTCTTCAGCTTATTTTTACAGATGGGTAAAGTGAGGCAAACAGGGTGAAATGACTTGCTCAGGATAGCACAGCTAGTAAGTGTCTGAGACCAGATCTGAACTCAGGAAGACTCATCTTCCTGATTTCAGGCCTGGCACTCTATCCACTGCATCACTTAGCTTCCCATAATTTAAAACCATATGTATTTTATTTTATGCATTTAAAAACAGAATTCTGATCAGGGGTCATAGGTTTTCCTGAACTGCCAACAGCCCCAGGACACCCACAATGTTAAGAATTCTTGCTTTAGAAACAGAGGTCACCAAAACAAATGCATATTTATGTCCCCCCAGTGCACCTTCCTCTTCCCCCTGTGCCAAAGCTTCAAAATTTATGGAAATACTTTGCCTCTGTGTGATTCACAAAATGACCGTGAGACTGAAATAATACAACTGTGATAGTGAAAAACACACCAAGCTCAGAGTCAGGAGAACTGTATTCATGACCTGGCTCACTTAACTCTTTAGGCCTCAGTTTCCTTAACTGCAAAATGAAGAGGACTAGATAGTCTCTAAGCTCTGACAGTCTATGTTCTAAGGTCGCGTCTGAGGTGTGATTGTTGTTTGTCCTTCATTTTGAAGAGGACCAATGACATCACGGGGTGATGTCTTGACTTGTGTGTGAATTGAATTTAAGTGGGGCAGAGTGGCACAAAGTCATCAGCCTCACTCTCTCTTCCAGAGTCACTGACATCCATTGGCAAGACAAAAGTCAAGATGACCGGAGATGGCCTGAGATGTAGGGGATGATCTTGATGTCTCCAACGTCTGACCGCGCTCTAAGTGCTCTATAGTGCCTCCTTCATGTCCTTTGGAACAAACTGTTCTCATCCCCCCCATTCTACTGGGGAACTCTTCACATGCTTGGGGTAGACACCCCCTAACTCTCTGACAGGTTTGAGTCCTGTTGGTTACTCTCAACCTGGTTTATCCCATCTGCTAAGACAATTTACTGGAGTGTGGCCTCTGAGCATGCTACGGCTTCTCAGAGCTACAGGTGAGAGCTGGGTGAAGGTGGACTCCAAAGGTGAATGAACAGCCCTGAAAAGGGCTTGGCAAAGCCTCCCATCAGAAGTGCTAGTCCTCCCTTAACATCCTTTGCACCCCAAGATAACACTATATTCTAAGAGACTATCAATCAATCACTCAATCAATCAATCAATCACTCAATCAATGTGTGTTAACCACCTACTACGTGCCAGGTCGCTTTCGACTCTAACACTACATTTCGAGGCCCCTTCCAATTCTTAAGAGTCTCTATTGTATATTCTCTTTACCATTCTAAGTGTTAAGACCCTTTCCAGCTTCGACATCCTCTGATTCTATGAGAGGGCTTCAAAGTTTCTTGTTGTTGTTGAGTTATTTGAGTTGTGGCTGACTCTTCCTGACCCCATTTGGGGTTTTCTTGGCAAAGATACTGGAGTGGTTTGCCATTTCCTTCTCCAGCCCATTTTACAGATGAAGAACTGAGGCAAATAGGGTTAAGTGACTTGCCCAGGATCGCATAGCTTGTAAGATTTGAACTCAGGAAGATGAGTCTTCCTGATTCCAAGCCCAGTGATCCATCCACTGTGCCACCCAGCTGCCAGCTTCAAAGTATTAAATACTATACATATACCAATGTAAGATCCACAATTTCTGCAGCATGAAGACTCCTAGCATGGGAATTTCCTCCACCAGTCAAGACTGCATCCTATCTGTGTGACTTAGCAGATCATCAGATCATGGTTTTAGAGTGCGAATGGACCCTTAAAGGTCATCTTGCCCAAATCCCTCATTTTGCAGATGATAAAATTGAGGCCAGAAAAGATTTTGACTCCTGACTCCAAGTCCAATACTTTTCCCACATACCACAACCTCAAATCTTAAAGACAAAACAGTTCCTGGTATTTCCTGGGATATCTGGAAGACAAGGGCAATCTGGTGCTGTAGTGGAAAAAGTTCTGAGCTTGGAGTCAGGAAGACATGAATTTGAATCCTACCTTAGACACTTATTAATTGTGTGACCCTGGGCAAACCATATAACCACTCTAGACTCAGTTTCCTCATCTGTAAAATGGGAATCATAGCACCTATTTCACCAGGTTGTTGTGAAGATTAAATGAGATAACATATGTAAAGCACTTTGTAAACCTTCAAAAACTATACAAATGTTACTGCTATCAGGGCTTGAGTCATTGTTTTGGTTGTCTAGACCTAAGAAAGTAATGGAGAAAATGTTAAAAATGCAGATTAAATTTCAAATTAAGGATGCCTCTATTGTACATCTCTATAAAGGAAAAGGAAATAGATTGTCCTGTGACAATCAAAGAGGTCTCTCTCTCTTAGTCATTGCCTGCAAGATTCTTGCCAGAGAACTCCTTAAGAGGTTGATCCTTCACCTGGAAGATGGTCATCTACCTGAGAGCCAATGTGGCTTCAGAAAGGGCCGAGGAACAGCCAATATGGTGTTTGCTGCCTGACAACTCCAGAAGAAATCCCTCTGCCCCTAGCTGAAGGTGGAGTGGCAGGGCTCATGCTCTGCTAAACCTTCTCTGGATCTCCAGTCCATCTCTAGCCAAGGCTGCCCTGAATGGGGCATGAAACCACACGGGTGACCCCCCTGTTCTACTTGTCCATATTGTACAATTCCGAGTTTCAGTATTGATTATTTTTGATCCACACAGAACCCAGTGAGGTAGGTAGTGTAGGTACCACTGTCTCTAGTTTATAGACTAGTCAGTTACCTAGTTGGTCAACAAACTTACTCACAAAGCACTTATTTATGGGGATACAAAGAAAGGCTCTCTGTCCTCAAGGAGTGTACATTCTAACGGGCAGGCAACAAGTAAATAATGATGTATATATGGTATACACACACACACACACACACACACACACAAAGATGTGTTTATATATGTATTTATGACATATATGTTTTTTTTTGTTTTTGTTTCTTTGGGTGAGGTAATCAGAGTTAAGTGACTTGCCCAGGGTCACACAGCTAGTGTTATGTGTCTGAGGCCAGATTTATGACATATATGTGTGTTTATATATACATACACAGAGACAAAGAATGAGAGTGAGTAGATAAAAGTAATTTGAGAAAAGAATAACAATGTCTTGCATTTATGTAATTTATATAATACTTTAGTTTGCAAAATACTTTACAAATATCTTCTTGTTTTATCTTCACAATAACTCTGAGAGGTTAAGTGCTATTATTATCACTATTTTACAGATGAAGAAACCAAGACAGACAGAGGTTAAATGACTTGTGCAGGGTCACAGAGTTACTAAGTGTCTGAGGCCAGATCTGAACTTAGGTCTCTCCTTCTCCAGAACCAGCACTATATATACCATACCATCAAGTGGTCTCTACTAGGCACTATTACCTTGGTGGGGGCACCCAAAAAAGCCTCCTACAGAGGTGAGATTTGAGCTGAGCTGGGAAAACTAAAAGGCTGAGGTGAGGGAAGCAGAGTATTTTAGGTGGGGGGGGGACTTTGAAGTTCAAAGCCAAGGAGAAGGGAGATAGTAATAACAACAACAACAACAACAACAACAATAATACTAGTGGTAGGAGTAATAAAAAGCTAGTAGTAGCTAGCATTTATAAAGTACCTATTATATACCAGGCACGGTGCTAAGTGCTTTGCAAATATTATCTCATTTGCTGTGTTCAAGTAGGTCATTGTGGTTGGATCCTAGACTGTGTGAAGGGTAATAAAGTATGAGGAACGTAGAAAGGGGCCCAGGGATGAAGACTTTAAATAGAAAACTTTATATTTTATCCCGGAGGTAACAGAGGGCTATTGAAGTTCATTGAGCAGGAGGCGGACATGGTCAGATGCATGCTTTAGAAAAATCACATTGGCAGATGACTGGCATGTGTTTTGGGTGGGAGAGATTTGAGGTAGGATGACCAGTGAGAAGGCCATTGAAGTTATCCAGGTGACCTAGGATGAAGGCCTGAACTAAAGTTGTTTCTGTATGAGTATTGTGAAGGGGACATAGAAGTGATATTGTGAAGGTATGAATGACGGGCCTTGGGGCTGAGTGCAAAGGAGGAGCTGAAGGTGGACAGTGAGGTTGGGAGCCTGGGTGCCTGGAAGGATGGTGATGCCCTTGACAGTAATTGGGGAGTTTGGAAGGGGGTAGTGTCTGGGAAGAAGGATAACGAATCCTGTTTTGACCATGTTGAATTTCGGTGCCTATGGGTTATCCAATTCAAGAAGTCCAAAGGGCTGTTAAAGAGGATGAATTGGAGACTCAAGTTAAAATGACCTGTCCATGGTCCTACTACTTATTAAGTAGCAGAGCTGGGGCCGTTTGGTTCCATATCTGGTGTTCTTTCCACTGTACTACAAAAGTTTCCCCTTTTTCCCCCTCTCCTCCCTGCCCTCCCTGGGCACCCGCTATTTGATTTATTTCTTTGGCAAAACCCATGATGTCTTTAATGAAAACACCACCCCTCTTCCCAAAGCATCCAACCCAGGGCCTGGCTGGAGAGTGAGGCGCCCACACAAGGCAGCCCCGAGCTCAGGCAGCGGTACCCTTGGGGGTGGGAGGGATGGGGTGAGGAAGAGGACTTACTGGAGCAGCTGATTTTGATGGACATGTAGTCTCGACTACAGTCCTTCTTGTAGTGACAGCGCAGCCAGTTCAGCAGGCACAGCCCGTTGTCACACTGCAGCTCCTCCTTCTTACACGGAAGGATGCTCTGCTCATCTGAAGGACACAAAGACAGAAACAATGGCTTTTAATCCCTCTTGCTTAGCTGGAACAGGCCTTAAAAATACAGAACATCAGAATGATGGTCATAGAACATTAGAGCTGGCTGGCTGGGATGTGAGGGATGATCTAGTGCCAATTCCTGACTTTATGGATGAAGAAACTGAGGCTCAGAGTGGTAAAATCACTCATCCAAGGTGACACAGCTATTTAGTCACATATCAGGCTTAGAATCTGGGGACGCTCCAGCTCCCAATCTGGCTAGTTGCTCTGCATGACACTAGCTCCTTCTGAACCCTGTATTCCTCATTCGGCAAAGCCCCGGGCCATGACTCTCCCAGATTGATTTCCAAGAGATTTGTGACTCGAACATATCCCCCCATATCCCCTCTCCCTGCCTCTGTGTTAGCCACCCTCCATTCCTAGAATGCTCTGCTTCTTCACCTCAGCCTTTTAGCTTTCCTGGCTTCCTTCAAGACAACTCAGATTCCACCTTCACAGGAGATACTACCTGATCCTCCCCAGTATCTTCCCCTTCGCTTTGGAAAGGTGACTTTTGTCTGGGCATAGGAATAAGCCAGCTATCAATTTCTGTTGAGCAAGGACTGGACTCCAACAATATGTACCTAGGGGCCAAATCTATCTGGGTGTCCAAGAGAATATGACCTGGTTACTGTGTAGACTCTAAATCCAGTCATGACTGATCCCATGATAAGCATCCCCCCTGCTCCCGCTCCCCCCCCCACTTAAACATGAGCTCTTTAAGCCATAGCTAACTTTCATTTGGACAACTAACATGAAGTACATTTTAGGATTTTTTTTGGTGGGATCTATGGTTTCATTAAATGTAGAAAACTCCTCATCTTTATCTGCTGATACAAAATGGCACATGCTCTGAAACTGCGGTCATAGAGAGTTGTCTAGGGCACTAAAAAAAGGTCAAGTGACTTGTTCAAGATCACATGACTGGTATATGTCACAGTGGGACTTGAGGCCAGGGTGTCCGGGCTCAGTGGCCAGTTCTCTGTCTACTCTGCCATGCTGCCTGTCATGGATCTTAGGAAATAATCATTTATCAGGCATTTACCATGCACGGGGAACCACATGAAGACATATGAAATAATCCCTTGCTTTGAGAAATTTATAGTACAGTTGGGAAGATAGATATATACAAATAATTAGGATGCAAATTGCAGGATGATGAGTCCATAAGAGAGGTACCAACAGTATCAAGATGTCCCCAGGGATCAGCCACCAAGCCGATCACTAGACAACAGCCTTCAGACCCAAAGATTTGGAATCATACGAGGACTGTTTAACTTGAAAAGACTACAAACCAAGATGACAATGGAAGGAGAGTTGGTACATGAATTTTTGCTCTCAGAAATACTCTCAAGGTCTCTCTGAAGAACCTTGGAACCGATTGTGTGTCATGGGAGATGCTAGCAAAGGACTGCCCAGCATGGTGTGCCTGCAGCAAAGAAGGTACTGGGTGGTCTATGAGCGAAGTGGAATTTCAGTAGCTCAAAAGAAATGTGAGATGTGCAATTCCTAAGACATCTCCACTCCAAATGGACCATTTGTGCCCAGCCTATGGTTGAGCCTTCCGAGCTTGTATTGGTCCCATTAGCCACAGTCGACACACTGTTTCTTGACTCCAACATAGTGTTATCTTTTTGGTCCTCTGAGAATGGAAGGACAATAACCAACCAGCCAAAAGAACTCTGGGAAATTCAGCCAGGAGATGGCAGGCAATATGACCCCTGTTTTTGAATATCTGGGAAGTGGGGAGGGGGATTGTGTCCTTTTTCTGTTTGATTCCAAAGGGCAGAACTAAGTCAGTCAACCGTTCAATAAGCATTTATTAAATGCCTACTATGTGCCAGGCAATATGCAATGGATAGAAGTTACTGAGGGGCCAGCTGGCTCAGTTTAAGGTAGACCTGTCTACCAAACAATGGAATGGGCTGCTTGGTACTGAGTTCCCATCAGTCGAGGTGCTCAACCACAGGCTGGATCATCATTTCTAGGGGATGTTGTGGATAGCATTCTTTCTTCAGGTAGAATTTGGACTAGCTAATCTTTGAGTTTCTTTTAAGCACTGAGATTTTATGATTCTATGATTTCCTGGAGAATTAAAAAAAAAAACAACCTCTCCTTCTGGTGCGAAGAGGTTAGGGCTGGGGTGAGGAGCTGTCAGCCTTGAGGCCGCACGTGGCCTTCTAGATCCTCAAGTGTGGCCCTTGGTGTTTGGATTCAGTCAAAAGGCCTCACTTGAGGACTTAGGGGGCCACGTACGGCCTCGAGGGGGCAGGTTTCCCACCCCTAGAGCATAAAAGCAGAGAACAGAATATCAAAACATTTTAACAATCTGCCCACAGTCTGCAGACCTAGGGTTAAAAGATCAAAATCGATTCTTCCTGGTACATCCTGAAGCAGTGTGTGAATATGTAAAATAGAATGCAATTTGACGATTATTTATTTGGGAGTGTGGTCACTTGTACAACGCCACCAAGTGAACTGCAGCTGATGAAAATCTTGATTTAATCTGTGTGCTAAGGACTTAATTAACAATCAGTCATGCTCACTGGAGGTAAAAGCTATCTTGCCAATGGAAAACAGACCTCCCTGCTTCAGGGCACACCAATCTCTTTCAGCTGCTAGGAGTGGTGAGTCAGTGCAAACAATGCCAGCCGCTGGGATTGACCTAGTAGTTCTCTATTCATTCATTCATTCATTCATTCATTCATTCATTCTTGTAGTGGGGGGGGTTAGAAAAAAAAAGATGCTTGAGTCCTTGAAACACCTCAATTGCCCTTGAGATTGTCACCCATTACAATAAGGGATATTCTTAATGAAGATCCAGAGTCTTCAAGATAAGATTAAATTACGTTCACAATATCTTTTGTTCACAAAGTTACATAATGTCAGAGCTCAAAGGGGCCTTTAGACATGGAAGGTTATGGAGGATGTTAGGAACCATACTGAGAGGACTGCATGAATAATCAGGGGCCCTGGTTTCAGTTTTGCCTCACAGTCTGCTGTACCTTTCAGTAGACCAGAAACCTGCTGATGGAAAATAGCTGCTCAGAGTTTGCTCAAGTCACATGTATCTGTCACTGACTCCATTCACTGAGCCGACAGTGAATGAGTCCATGGTCTCTGAGCTCAGCTTTCTTCATTTTGCGGCTGAAGTACAGGAGGAGAGTACTTCCATCCCGCTCTCTGACTCATCTCTAATTGGATTTCCTAACAAGGGGAATTCAGCGTGCAGTACTTTGAGCTATTAAGTGCTTCTGTTATATACACGAAAAGTCTGCTTCATTTCCCTCTCATTTCCTTGTTCATCAGCCTTCCACTCAAGGGGACTCTTAGAAATGCAGACCTGAAAAGGTACCACGCTAATTAAACCATCAAAGGCACCCCCTCCCTTCTTAACTGAAATGAACTGGGGAGAGGGAAGGGGAAGAAGTGACTCAGGGGAATTTCATGGCTGAGCAGGCTCACACTGGACCTAGGGGACGATCCATGATTATTCTAGAGATTTATCCTGATCAGGATATATAGACTTCCATTATAGGTAGAAAAAAGTGTTGTTGTTATTTAGTTGTGTCCAACTCTATGTACGCCTAGATTTCTTTGTCCATGGGGTTTTCTTGGCAGACATTGGAATGGTTTGCCATTTCCTTCTCCATTGTGTCCCTATTTTGCGGATGAGGAACTGAGGCAAATAGAGATTAAACGACTTGACCAGGGTCACACGGCTAGTCAGTGTCTAAAGCCAGATTTGAACTCAGATCTTCCTGACTCCAGGCCCAGTAGCTGGACATTTATATTCAGTAGATTTTAAAATGAGCTGGCTAGTTCCCTTTCCTGAAAATATCTCTTCAACCCAGGTGTCACTGTGTCTGCCTCACTTAAATCCAATTCATTCGCTCATCAGAACATCACCCTCATGATGTCCCTGGTGCTCTTTGAAAATGAAGTATGAACAACAACATAGTTACCATGTCTAAAATTCCAGCACTAGGAATGTATTTATTGGACCGTGGAAGCGGAAATCAGAGCAATGGGGAGACGTTAGAGGGAGGAAGATTCCTTCAAAATTAGAGGGGTCCAACCATGAAATCATCTGCCTTGGAAGGGCGTGAGATTTCTGTTACTACACACTTGTGTGGAGAGGTGGGGCACTCAGTGCAGGTACTACAGAGGGGATACATGCTTCGGCTAGGTCACAGGTTGGATGCCTCCTGATGTCCCTTTGGACCCTGGGATTCTGAGATTCCTTGGGCTCTTTTTTAAAATACACATACTTCTCGGAAGGGCAACAACTTAAGCCATTGGAACCTTGGTGTTAACGAACGTACCATAAATGCTAGAGCTGGAAGGGACCTCATATGAGATGACATGGGTGAAGTGCTTTGTAGACCTTAGTGTTGGTCAAACATTGTTGACTTTGTGTGACCCGGTGGACCACACTGCCCATGTGGTCTTCTTGGCAAAGATACTAGAGTGGCTTGCCCTTTCCTTCTCCAGTGGATTAAGGCAAATAGAGGTTAAGTGACTTGCCCAGGGTCACACAGCTAGAAAGTGTCTGAGGTCAGATTAGAGTTCAGGTCTTCCTGACTCCAGGAACATTGCTCCACCCACTGAGGCACATAGCTGCCTACTAGACCTTCCCCACTAGGTAGTTGCTGTTTGTCCTTTGTTCTTGAAGAGGACCAACCCACTAGGCACTCTCATTCCCTACTTGCATTCTTTAAGAGAGCTGGGCTTCTTACCAGTTTAGAATTGGAGGATAGATTGAGATCATTTTGGCTCTAAGACTTCTGATCATTTGTGTGACCCAATACAACTGTATGATGGTGGGTTTCAGGGGCAGATGGTATATAAATACTAGCTATTATTATTATTATTATTTTAATTTATGTGAGAACTAGAACCCAATCTTTCTGGCCTGAAGAAATCTCTGTCCAGTGGAAGTCCCTGCTTGTCTT